TGGAATATTAAGCAACAATTCACCAGACTATAAACATCATTACGTCCTGATTTTCCTGTTACCAATCAGATGGGAGCTCCTCCTGATGCATTTTCTGCTCAATTGTTTTGGACACAGTTTATTTATTTTTTTTTTTTTTGAGACGGAGTCTCGCTTTGTTGCCCAGGCTGGAGTGCAGTGGCCAGATCTCAGCTCACTGCAAGCTCTGCCTCCCGGGTTTACGCCATTCTCCTGCCTCAGCCTCCCGAGTAGCTGGGACTACAGGCGCCCGCCACCTTGCCCAGCTAGTTTTTTGTATTTTTTAGTAGAGACGGAGTTTCACTGTGTTAGCCAGGATGGTCTCGATCTCCTGACCTTGTGATCCGCCCATCTCAGCCTCCCAAAGTGCTGGGATTACAGGCTTGAGCCACTGCGCCCGGCCGGACACAGTTTCTTTCTACCTCACTTCTTCGTGGCTGTCTCAGGAAGGGACAGGAGGGAGGAGAGTGGCCTCCCGGGCTCCTGCGGCCTCTGCACGCCCTGCTTTGTCAGTAAGCGCGATGTCAGGTGTGGCCTCCCCACTTTCCTCCTTTGTGGGTGGGGCCCATTGTCCCTCCTCACTCCGCTCCTGTTAACTTCGGGGTGCCCCATCATGATGCTGGTTGTGCGGACTCGGCCTGTTCCTCTCAAGGAATGGGATTCATGCTCCAAAGTATCCGGCCTGCGCCTGGGAGCCCCTCGGAGACGACACACTCCTTCCTGCCCCTCCCACCCTGCACCCAGCACCAGCAGGAGGGAGCCTGGTGCAGCCCCCAGAAATCCACGGAGGGGAAAGTAGGAAAAGTCCCACTTTTAAGAATGTGGCCCCCGTGCTTTTTCCAGCTCGTTTAAGCATTTTAAACATCGTTCTGAAATACACATAAAATATGCCACCTGTGACTCCTCAAGGATCTAGAACTAGAAATACTATTTGACCCAGTCATCCCATGACTGGGTATATACCCAAAGGATTATAAATCACGCTGCTATAAAGACACATGCACACGTATGTTTATTGCGGCACTATTCACAATAGCAAACACTTGGAACCAACCCAAATGTCCATCAGTGATAGACTGGATTAAGAAAATGTGGCACATATACACCGTGGAATACTATGCAGCCATAAAAAAGGATGAGTTCATGTCCTTTGTACATGGATGAAGCTGGAAACCATCATTCTCAGCAAACTATCGCCAGGACAGAAAACCAAACACTGCATGTTCTCACTCATAGGTGGGAATTGAACAATGAGAACACACGGACACAGGAAGGGGAGGGAACATCACACACTGGGGCCTGTTGTGGGGTGGGGGGAGGGGGGAGGGATAGCATTAGGAGAAATACCTAATGCAAATGACAAGTTAATGGGTGCAGCAAACCAACACGGCACATGTATACATACGTAACAAACCTACGCGTTGTCCACATGTACCCTAGAACTTAAAGTATAATACCAAAAAAAAAAGTGCCACCTGACACATTCTAAGCGTATACAGTCTGGGAGCGTTCAGTACATTTGCACTGATAAGGTTTGGCTCTGTGTCCCCACCCAAATCTCAGGTCGAATTGTAACGCCCAGGGTTGGAGGTGGGGCCTGGTGGGAGGCGATTGGGTCTTGGGGACGATTCCTCACAAATGGTTTAGCGCCGTCCCTGGGTGCTGTCTGCCCGACCCGGCCTGAGTTCTCTCTAGCTCTGGGTGTTAGTAAGGATGCAGCAGCTCCCGCTCACGCTCTTGCTGCTCCCACCAGGTAAGACGAGCCTGCTTCCCCTCGCCTTCCGCCACGACTGAAAGTCTCCTGAGGCCTCAGCAGAAGTCAGGTAGGCACCAGCACCAGGCTTCCCCTGCAGCCTGAGGAACTGAGAGCCAATTCAACCTCTTTTCTGTAGCAAGTACCCAGTCTCGGGCGATTCTTTATAGTGGTGCGAGAACGGACGAATACACGTCCTGTTGTGCCACCCTCCCCCCGCCCCCCACAGCCTGCTCTCGGGCTTTTTATACTCCCACCTCCTCCTTGCTCATGGCTGACGGATACCTAATGAGGAGGGGACCTGCAGAGGCCTTTTCTGCTGGGTCACAGGCAGCAAGCAGGGCCGCGGGCCTTCATCCAAAGTCGGGTCTGAAGTTTCCTACGTTCCCAGCCATCTGACCGCTCCACTGCCTCCCACCCATGTACGAAGCCCCACCCAGGCTGGGCTGAGTCTCCTGGGGCCCCAGGATGGTGTGCCCACCTCTGAGTCCCTGGAATGTCTTTCTGCGTCCTGCGACTGGGTCCTGCCTGCTGGGACTTGGGCCTCAGAGTCACCCAGGAACAAGGCACCCATCCTTCTCCAGCACAGGCCGTGCTAATGAGAGGCAGACGCAGACTCCGATCCCCCTCGCACTCCTGTTTCCCTCCTCAGCAACTTCTCCAGCTGCCCAAAGAGTGGGCAGGAACCATCACCCTTGGGCTATAGAGGCTGAGCCTCCCAACCCCAGCAGACAGAAGTTCTGGGAGCCACCTCAGCACGACCCAGCCAGGGTGGGCAGCGGGGACGGGCCACGGGGTGCTACGCATCTCAGCACCTGCTCCCAGCCCCTCCCACCCCCCTCACCTCTCCTTCCCCAACCCTGAGTCCAGGGGATAGCGTAGGGGCCAGCCCAGCTGGGAAGAGAGTGGAGCTTTCACTTGGGGTACCCCAGGGTGAGCCGGGGGTGTTGAGGGGGTGACACAGGTGGGCAGCACTTGGCCCTCACAAAGGTTGTCATTTTCACAGCAGAGAGTAAGGCCTGCCAGACACAGCTCTGGGATCTGCCCTGGTCCCCTCGACAGTGTGGTCAATGCTCTGTGGGTGGCCAGTGACCCACCTGGTGAGCCCAGTGGACAGGACAGTGTCCTTGGGGATATGGGACCGGCGCCTCTAAGGCAGGGCCCGGCCTGAGGAGCCTCTGGGGCCTGCTGGGATCCTTGGCCTCCGTCCACCGTGCACCTCCCATTCCCCCAAGCCTCTTCTCCCACACCCCTCCCTCCTCGCCTCTCAGGGACCCTATGGCCCCTTCGTAGCACCCCAGCTTATGTGACCTCAGGTTACACAGGCAGCAGCTTGGGGGCACGTCTGGGCTCCTCTGTCAAATCATCAGGAGGACCTGGCGGGCCGCACGTAGGCCAACGGTCCATGGAGCCACGGCCGGGACCGGAACAGAACCACTCGGTACTCAGCCCCAGATGCGAATTCAACAGCGAGGAGAGCTCTGACCTGGAGCAACAGCCCGAGGCCCCTGCTGCACTCGAGCTCTAGAGAGGGAGGCCATGAGCTCCGACAACACAGACAGAAGGCCGGGCGCGATAGCTCACGCCTGGAATCCCAGCACTGTGAGAGGCCGTAGTGGGTGGGTCGCCTGAGGTCGGTGGGTCACCTGAGGTCAGGAGTTCAAGACCATCCTGGCCACCATGACGAAACCCCGTCTCTACTAAAAACACAAAAGTTAGCCAGGCATGGTGGCAGACCCCTGTAATCCCAGCTACTTGGGAGGCTGAGGCAGGAGAATCACTTGAACCCAGGAGGCAGAGGTTGCAGAGAGCTGAGATCTCACCACTGTATTCCAGCCTGGGTGACAGAGTGAGACTCTATCTCAAAAAAATAAAAAATGAAATAAAATAAACACAGATGGGAAAATGTCCCTAGCCCCCAAAATACCACAATGAAACCGAAAGCCAAACAAGCTCAGAAAGAAGCATCGCTACATGCACGTCACGGAGAACGCTAATATCTTCCGTTTACAAAGGGTTCTTATAAATCAGTGTTAAAAACCAGAAAGGACATGAACAACTCACAAAAGAAAAAGGCAAATGGCTACTAAATACGTGGGGAAATGCGGAACCTCAGCAGCGAATGAAAATGTGCAGAGTAACGAGCATCAGAGTGCGGCCACTGAGGGCCCACCAGGGCGGCTGGTTCACATCCACAGCTGACGGAGGAAGGAACCGGCGTGAGCCCACGGCTGTAAAATCAGTGCAACTCCCAGGGCTTCTTACTGCACCATCCCTCCGCGTCCCACTCCCCACGCTCTGGCCTGTCTTCTGACAAGCCCTCCTTGGGTGTTTGGTTCCTACGTGGGCAACACTTACCTCTGTGTGCTGGTGACTTGCGGAGCTTCCAGAACAATGTGTGCAGTGTGGAGCTGACCCCCCTGCCACCCCCAACAGGGGCTACCTGGGCACTGCACTCCCCAGGCTTCCCTCCTCATCCCTCAGCGGGGGCATTGTGGGGGTGTGAGCACACATGCTCGGCAGGTGCTGGATCTGTGCTGGGCTTCTGAGCATCAGAGGCCCCAGTGTGCCCCTCCAGGCTTCCTAGTCACCTCCATTGGGCACAGCAGGAAGCCCCCAGGCTGGGGCAGGGGCAGGAGTTCAGATGGCGACAGGCAGTTCAGCAGCCAAAGTCCCCATTGTAACAGGCGCTGCTTTCCACCAGTGTGTAGCACCTGGTGGTGGGGACACCCAGAGGGGCCTGGGTGGGAGACCCCCACACCTGCTCCCACCTGCTCACTGACCTCCTGCCTGTCCCTGTGGGGGTCTCTAGCCACCTGTGTACAACAGAGGGGGAATCAGACTGTGGCCACCCTCTCTAGACCTGCACCCTATTCCTTTCTGCAGCAGGACGGGCTGGCCAAGAGCAACCGATTGTGGAGGTAAGAGGCCGACAGCTGTCGGGCATGGAGCTGGTGGGCGTGGGGCTGGTGGGCATGGAGCTGGTGGGCGTGGGGCTGGTGGGCGTGGGGCTGGTGGGCATCATGGAGCTGTCGGGCATGGAGCTGGTGGGCGTGGGGCTGGTGGGCGTGGAGCTGTCGGGCATGGAGCTGGTGGTGGGCGTGGAGCTGGTGGATGTGGGGCTGGTGGGCGTGGAGCTGTCGGGCATGGAGCTGTCGGGCATGGAGCTGTCGGGCATGGAGCTGGTGGGCGTGTGGGCGTGGGGCTGGTGGGCGTGGAGCTGGTGGGCATGGAGCTGTCGGGCATGGAGCTGTCGGGCATGGAGCTGGTGGACGTGGGGCTGGTGGGCGTGGAGCTGTTGGGCATGGAGCTGGTGGGCGTGGGGCTGGCGGGGCCTGGGGCAAGCCTCTGGGAAGGGACTGCTGAGAGAGCAGCGGGGGGAGGACCAGAGGCGATGAAGGGAAGGCAGGGTGGGGGTGGGGCGGGGGCAGCAGCAACAGAGGCCCTAACCTGAGCCGCCCTGACCCCGCTCTCTGACCCCTGTCCAGGGACAGGTGCGTGCCAGACGTGAGCAGAGAAGACAAACGCAGGTGTGGCTGTGGGCAGGGCGGCCTCTCTAAGGTCCCCAGGAGTAGTGGGGGATCTGTTTGCAGGACAGAGTCATGGGAAGCCTGGGCCAGCCAGGCAGGTCCTGCCAGTGGGGAAGGAGGTGGCTGCTCCCACGGCTGGGCCAGAGGTGTCCCTGATGTCCGTAGATGGTGCTGGGAACCAAGAAAGCGGCTGCTCTTCCTCCTTCACACACGGATCGAGGTGAGGAGGACGGGACGGGTCAGGGATGGGGCGGGCGCAGGAAATCCAGCTCTCAGGCAGGTGAAGGGGGCCGGTCCGGAGCGGGTATGAGGCTGGCTGGGAGGCCCCGGGAATGCGCGCGAGGGCAGGCCGGCTGCCCACCCGTGCCACCTGCCCTCTCCCCACAGGTCCTTGGCCCGGCTCCTGGGGGCCGTGAGCTTGTCCCGCAGCTCGGGGATGCTGCTCAGCGGGTCGCCTCGTCATTGGTCGTGCGCCTGCTCAGTCTGGGGCAGGGGCTGGGACAGCGTCTTTAATCCCTGCTGCGGGTGCGGGGATTAGGACAACGTGGAGTGAGTGAGTGAAGGGATGGCGCCGTGAGCTCTCAGCGCGGGGGACCCACGCCCAGCCGGGGCGCCAGGA